GAGATAATATTTATTTTTTGGAGATAATATTTATTTATTTTTATGTTTGAGTGGGAGCTGTTAACAATCCCACGATTATTTTTAGCTGCTTGGATATTCAAATGTATAGATATCTTATTATGAAATATCTAAATAGCTTAACATTCTAGTAGGAGTACCTGCTCTTGTTTGGCAGGTCAACTGAAGCAACACACTATAATATTGTTCACTCATGGAACCCGGATATATGGTAGTAGTTGTATGGCTACAAAAGGGGGCAGCTTGATGGAAGAATTCTCTTGAGCTGCTGAGATACGACCCGATGTGATAATGGTACATGATAATCTTCAGCGACAACCAGTCTTTGAGTTGTAATATGACATTAAAAGATAGAGTACGATCATATTCTAGAGGTGATCCGAGCAGCAAAGAGAAAGAAACTTAAAGAATCTCTCAGAAGTTGCATCCATAAATCCTTTTGTGAAATGATTGATAACAAAAGAGTTCGCCACGGTTAATGTAATGAGAGAGAATAAGTGATAAATATTTGAAAGAGATATTGCAATTGGGGAATGAGAATGTGATGAAGAGAGATTGTAGGGCCTTCAAAGGTCAAGTGGGAGATGTTAGGTTTCTATGACTATTGAGGGCCTTATGAGAGCTTGTAACTAAAATCCTGATATAGTGGAATATAAACATAGTTGGAGTGTGGTCCTTTATGGACCGTGATAAGCAAATGCTATTTGCTGATACTCAGACTTAGCTTGACATGCTAAGCAAGTCGAGTTGAAAAACCCATGGTACCTAGGTATGGAACTAAACCGATGAGGATTTTGTGGATCATCCTGTGATGAGGTCGAAATTATCCAGATGAGTGAGTCGAGGGACCGTGTGACCCTTGTGTGCGACGGTTGACTTTTAAAGACAAGGGCCAAAGCTTCATCATTGAACCATCACAAAACATGTACATATGATAACCGTATCAGGAAAGTGATCCACCTTTCAAGGTGAAGTGTGTACGTATGCAAGAGATTACCCTTATGCACTATAGAACTGTGGTTACATCAATTCTAGGTGACCTTCGTTCGTTTTTAGGGGAGAACCTGTAGTCCACAGACTAAGATTATGTCCCTTTGCATACTGGTTGACTTTGGAAGCCCAATCATAAACACCTGCAACAGTCTGTGGGTCATGGGTACTGCTAGTTCAGTTTGAGAAATCAAGTGTGGATTATAGTCCACAATGGAAGATGGAATGCTTCAACAATTTTATAATTCCTTGATATATATACAGATCAGATTCCCATCAAAAGTATATAGTTTTAATTATTTTGATGATATATAATTTTTAGATTGATTATTTAAATTTTTGTGAATCTTTTATTTTTACAAATTGGATTTATAAGTCTAGAGATATTTATTTCTTAGTATTTAAATATTCAAGAGAGAATTAAGTTTATTTACAATTTTCTAAAAAACATAATAATTTTATAAATTCTTTTTACATGGGAGGCCCATAGGGGGCCCACCTTGGGACCACATGGGTTGTGCTTGGGGCCCACTTGGGAGCCCCATGTAGTGGGCTACTTTTCGTTTTACAAGTCATTCAATTGTATTAGTTGTTATGAAAAGTTTAAAGTTTTGAGTAATTTGAATATTCAAATTTTTGTATGGTTTGAGATTTAAGAAAGATTGATTTTAATCAAAATATTATTGTAAGAAGATTATAGAAAAATATAATTATATTTTTTATATTATAATATTTGTTGGGATTATGTTTAGGAAGATAGAAGATAAGGTTTTAGCATATTCCTTTTAATCATGATGCCTGATCTAAAGAATGGATTACTCATATCTCTCACCCCACATATCTCTTATAATCAATGATCTGGATTCAATTTTTATAAGGATGACTAACCCTAAAAAAACCCTAGCCCATAAAAAACCTATAAATAAGGGCTTCCTATCATAATTATCTACACCTCCAATCTCTTCTCTCTCTACTCTCTCTGGAGGGTTTCTCTCCCTCTCTTTTCTCATCACAAGATCTTTCTTAAAAGGTTAATAACATAAGATCTTTCTAAAAGGGTTAATAGTAGAAAGGGGGGCCACGCCCTACTTAGGCAATTAAGAGAGGTAGGGGTAAACTGGGGTAAACTCAAGATGTTCCATGCTCTCGTATTGTAAGGGTCGGGTTTTAAGTTTCTAATACTTGGTAGATCCGAGAATTCGACAAAAACCATTGATCATGTGTCCCATTGAAGGAAGAGATTCGGTGTAAGATGTATTAAACCCGATTTTACTTTGTGCTTTATAGTATTTTCTTTTTCGTGTCTTTCCTATTGTCATAGCATTGTGCTACTTTTTGTTTGTTCAGTAAAAGGAGTTATAGTCAGTGGTAGCAAGAGGTATCCACTTTTATTTATTTGTTTATTTCAAGTGAGTTTTATTATATTTGGACCATCGTAAATGCCTTAGTCGGTGAGAAAAAAAAGTTTTAAATTATATATACCATGCTAGATCACTTTATCCAACTTTCAAGTAACCCATAAAAAAATCTTAATTTTTTCTCACTCACTTCTATTTAAATTGCAATGGTAAAGTAGTTAATTCGTGGGGATGCATGAGTACATTTGTCCCCCAAGCATCCCACATCCATCTTAAGGTTCAAAAAAGGCAAAATCAACGGGCTTGAGTTTTTTTAAAAAATTACTTTTCAAATTTATTTATTTGTGCACATTCATATTCACCATGTTGGAGATTGCATAGTCTTAAAAATTAGATCGAAAATCTATCTAAAAAATGGATTATCAAGAGAAATGATTCCTAAGGTTCGTAAAATCCGTGTCCAATTGCAATGGATCTCCAAGTCCAATGTCTAGTGCACGAGTCATGAAATTAGAACTCTAATTTAATGTCGAAGAAAGAGAAAGGAGAAGAAAGAGAAAGGAGAAGAGACAAAAAGAGAAAGGAGAAGAGAGAGAAAGAGAAAGGAGAAGAGAAGAATGAGAGTGCTATTATGGAGAGGAGGGAGAGCGCTGAGTGCTAATTTAGAGAGAGATAGAGAGAGAGTTAGAGAGAGAGATAGAGAGAGAGAGTTTAGAGAGAGAGATAGAGATAGAGAGAGAGTTTAAAGAGAGAGATAGAGATAGAGATAGAGATAGAGTTTAGAGAGAGATAGAGATAGAGAGAGAGTTTAGAGAGAGAGATAGAGATAGAGAGAGAGATTAGAGAGAGAGATAGAGATAGAGAGAGTTTAGACCAGCGTTTTAAAAAACGTCGAGTCGAACCGGACGATTCTGTACAGTGAATCGCCGATTCACTGTATGGAATCGGCGAGTCCGTACGGAATTTATTTATTTATTTATTTATTTTA